GAAGGTAGAGCGGCTTTGTCTTGCACGGAGCTTCGGTGGAGATGTCAAGTCATGCCTGACCGACAGGTGCTACGCTTGGTCATGCCTGGTCGGCAGGTGCTACGCACGACAGATCCTCCAAGGGCTTCAAGCTATGTCGACTGGTGGTACTTGCCAGCATGGCGCTGAGGTGTATCAGTGGCGACCGCGACGTGTTCAGCTGTTTGCGCGCAGGGAGGAGGTGCCGTTGGGCGCCGAGGTGGCGTCGACGATAGCTGGACCGAGTAAGGTTGATGCATCAGTACAGTTCTGAAGATGGAGCGGTGGCAGTTGGCGGTGGCGGCCTCTGAGAGCACGCCGGACCAGTGTGTGCCCCAGACCCGGCAAGTGGCTAGGTTGGGGTCTTAGGTCTTAGATATTAGGCTTGGCTGTGATGTCTGTTTGGTACTAGGTCCAGGCTATCTGCGTCCCTTCATCAACTGGATAGATGTAGCGACAGTTTGTTGCTTAGACGGCGGCTTTAGTCTTACTGTTGTATGACTTTGTAAGGTCTTGTGAGAATAATTAATAAAGTGGTCATATGCATCGTCCAGATGCAGAGGTCGGGGGTCATTCTCCTTTTCTAAAAAAATCTTAAGTCACACTAACACTAACGAGCAGAAACAAGCCTAACCATAATATTCAAAATATACAATTGTGTATCAACGAAAACCATTCAATTATCATTTAGTGAATGTCACGCTTAATAGTGTTTGCATGTAACACCCCCTCTTTACCTCACACCCCCGTCAATTACGTTAGAGCATACGAAGATGCTGGTTAATGAGAAATGCAAAGAATTTGAGAGTCCAAGTCGGCATGAAACATTGGCAGGTATGCTTCACAAATGCCAAGTTAAAATGTGTCTCTTTAACCATCTGACAGTTTATGGACTAAAATTAGCGCACTTTTCAAGTTGAAGGACCACCTGTACTTTTGACTCTGTTGGATATATGAGACCAAGTCAAACTTTTGAAATCTCAACCATCAATATCTTTTGGAGTATTTACATTCAATACTCAAAAAGATATATGTAAATTCGTTTTAAGAAGTATCTTCCAAATATATAATTATTGGGCTTTTGTAATGTTATTTTGCACAACATAATTATTGTAAAGCGTTTTGTAAAGATTGTGATTGTTCTCACTAGACAACTTCTGGAAAACCAAAGAGAGTTTTGGCAACTTCAAGGCGGACCCTCAAACCTTCACTATATGTCCAGTTCACTTTTGTCATCCAATAGGAACATGTATATGTCTGCTTTATG